GGGGTCAGGCTAGATGATCTGATCAGGTCCCTCCTGACCTGAGCTACTATGAAACTATGAATTAGCCTGTGGAACTTACTGCCACTAGAGCTTAGCAAGACTAGAAAAAAAAACAGAAGTTTATAATATTCTTCAGTAACTAAAAGTTTTCATCATTAAAAAATATGGAGCTGTGGAAGAAAGAAAAAACTGTTGATGCTAGGGCACAGAAGTAGCCTCATTTTTGAGGGTAGGGAAGAAGCTTGCCCTTGGGAAAATGTGCTCATGAATACCTAAGAATACCTAATGGAGTATTGCATCACATCTTTTTGGAAGCATATGTTGGTGTCAGGATATTGTACAAACTGGATTAGTGTCCTGATCTGGCACAACAATTCCCATGACCTTAATTACCTATTTGAAAATTGGACCTACAAAAAACTCTTTTCCTTCAATAAGCCACAACGGTAACAGTATTTGTCTCTTAAAAATGTGTAAGATATTAAAGAGTCATTAAAGTGAAGTACCTTTCCTGCTTAAGAGCATATTCCAGCATTTTGATTCGCCGCACTAAATCCTTCTTTAGATTTTCTTGTCCTTTCCTTTCCCCCTGGAGGAAGGCGATCTGAGCCTGAAAAAGACAATAGTCTACTTAAACTAAAAAAACAGCAAATTGTTCATTAAATGTATTGTTTTTACTAAGATGTGGATGAGATCTTGAGGTCTATGTTATGGCACTGTGCTGTGGAAACAATTTCAAAATTGAATCCCGCTTATGTTTTTTGAAAGCAGCCTGGCTACTACACACAAAGCAGAAGTTATATCAAGTATATGCTTAAACAGACTAACTCTTTAAACCACAGACTCATTACAGATTCCAAAATAATACATTAGAGTTAAATATACAGTAACTTGGAATAGTGTCTGATGAGACTCATTTGGTATCATGAGTAAACAAATATTCAAGTAATGACAAGGAACAGATAATTTAGCATTCAAAAGTGCTTTAGGCAAGAAAAACTGTTTGGTGATAACATGCAGGGGAGAAAGGCAAAACCTATAGAATGATAACAGAAGTATCTACAGAACATCTAATCTGTTTGTATACTACATATCAAAGGTCAAAAAGAATCCTTTCAATTTCAGCATATTAAACTTGAAGGGAATTAAAAGCCAACCATGGAGTGTGGAGCCTTCACTAAAATACTTCAGTAAGAGACTACAGTAACATATTGTATTAAGTAAGTGTCATGGTGCTTGTACTAATACAAAAAAGTTGTCTAGGTGATGTTTTTAAAGACAAATGGCAACTACATGCTTAACTCTCACTGGCTTTACATATAAAAGTGGTAATATAATACTCATGCCTAACCATGAAAAAGACCTCCACAAACATGCTCTAGCACAAGGCAGGTTCTTGTTCTCTCTCTGGACCAACTTGTGGAACAGAGATGCAGAGGGATCTGGATAGGTTACAGGGGTGGGC